ATTCAGAATGGCTTGAAACGTCGCGAAAACATAAAACTATCGATTCGGATTTTTTGATGAAAACATAATAAAACTTCTCCTTCGGGATGTTAAAAATGGTGAAAAATGCTAAGGGCTTACTTACATTGGTTTGCGTCCTGTGATTTTTAAAAGGCTGTCCAGGATGAATCCTGGGATAATATTAAAGGAGAAAAACTGAAATAGAAAATAGTTATAAAGTAGTTCTCTATCAAAGTCCAGTGGTTAAAATCTATTACATAATCTAATATACCAGTAACCAAAATTTGATCCAACTGCTGGTCAACGTACAACTTGGGTACCACAAAAGTTTAAAAGGCGATTTCGAGTATAATTCCATCCCGATTTCGTAGACCTCTTCTTGAGTCTTAATAACTTTATCGCAAATCGAACAATTGTAAATCGGTAGATTACTTTGAGGGCCCCTAAACAACAAAATGATAAATCAATTTTTTATAAAAAAGAAAATTTGGATGCAAATTACTTTTTAGTCAACTTATTCCAAGTTGCAACCAGGAGGCCTTTGATAACGACATCTACTGGTGCATAGTCTAGTATGATTTTGGGGTTGGCGTAACCGGCTCTCAGAAGGCCTAAATTTATAAAAGTTATATTTGCTGTAAATCTGGAAATTTATATTTAGAGTTTACCCTTTCCGACGGCAACAGTCAAACCTACGGGGCCATTCCAATTGTCAATCCATCCTGGAATTGGTTCCTTCCAAGCAGACACGACTGCAAATGGAAATATAATGTCATACAATTTTATGAATGGTGATTTGTCAGAAGTTGCTACTTACCAATGCCTGGTCTGTATAAAACCAAGGGCAGTCTGTCGCTGTAGTCTTCCACGATATTTTCAGCAAGATGTTTGGTGTACAGATATGTATTCCTCAATCCACCTAGACATCTAAAAATAATCAAAACACATATATTCTGTTAATAAGCTTCTCATGTTTCGGGACCTGATACTACTTACTTTTCGCTGAGGCATGCTAGTTCATATTCATCATTATAGTCCTCAGCCAATTTGATGGCTTCCCTCCAATCTCCGTGGTCTCTGTACACTTTTTCCTCTATGGTGTCTTTATCAGTGTTGCAATAAGTAGTCGAGACGTGGACACCAACCACCAAATTGGGCATTTGCAACATCAGTTCTATCATTTCTCGTGTTCCTCGAGTATTCATCAAAGTTGCCTTTGTTAAATGATCGTCGAATCTAACAAATGCACAAGATAAATTATTTTTGTTTAGGTCAAAGATCATCATTTGACTCACCTGACACTGGCAGCCACGTGGAATACAATTTCTGACTTGAGTACTAATTGTTTGTCAGGTTCGTTCAAACCTAATTGGAGTTGAGTGACGTCACCAGATACTGCCATCACTTTTTTAAATGCTTCAGGATTTTTTTCTCTTACCAAACTGAATAACTGCAAAAGATGATAAATGAAATAATCGCAGGGTTTTTAGTTAATATCAGTATGTAGTAGGGTTTATACAAAAACCGACATTTCAGAAAACCGGTTTTCGAATTTTAATTATACTAAAAAATCGGTTTTAACCGGTTTTCGAATTTTATATAGAAAATAAATTTTTGCTCGAATATTCTGTAATTTATCCGCAAATTTAGTGTAATTTAGAGCAGTATTTGACTGAATTTATTTATTGTTCAATTTTATAGATAGTAAACAAAATTATTTTAATTTTTAATTAGTAAAACTAAAAGATAGTTTGTTATCTTACTTAGTTTATCTTGATTAAATAACTTTGAAAATAATTATTCGTTATTCATGCATCATTTTCACATATAAGTGTGAAAATATTTTTATGATAGTGAAAAGAAAGTTTCGAATAAATAAAAATAATACATTTTTAAATAAAAAAAATGCATTAAATTAAAAAAAAATTAAAAAATATTAGATACATGTTGATACATACTTGTTAATATCAATTTTAGTTTTAAAAACAATTAAGCTAAACTCGGGTATTTTCTGTTCCAAGCAATTTTAATTAATTAATTTTAAATATTCTAATTGTTTTTTTTTTTGCTTAATAAAATATGAAATAGAGAAAATACTTTCATACTTGCGACCAAAATATGCTTAATTGTTTTTAAAGTCTGATATAATAAGTTTTTTGTTCTTTAATTTGTGGATTCTACGGTTTAAAACTCTTTTTTTAAGTTTGAGTAGAGGAAGTTACTTCTTCAAAAAAAGTCACACTGATTTAAATTAATGTATACACTGGTATATAAATCTAAATTAATATATACAAATCCTTTCTGGAAACCATTGCAGACAGATAAGATATCGTATGTTATTAAACCGAGATGATTTCAAAAATCAAAACGCTTTCATCTATCTTTTGTATTTGGCTATATTTGTCATTTTCTATTTATACAGTGAAAACCGACTTTTTTCACTAAAAAACGGTTTTCTAATTCCATGATTTTCGCCAAAAAACCGGTTTTTGAAAACCGACAAACCCTAGTATTTAGTGTTACCAGATTACAGTGATCATTATCGAGTGTTACCTCATTTTGAAAAATTTCCTCGAGTCGCTCCTCAATCGGTTTGCCCTTTTTCTCTCTAAGAAGCAAATACATGACTTTGAAATCGGGACAACTCCTTAGAATCTTCTCTATCAAGACTTTTCCTAAAAAACCTAAAAAAAACATCATGTTACATATTACATTTACAAATATTTATATAAGAAATTAGGTACCTGTTCCCCCAGTGATGAAAATTCGTTTATTTTTAAAAGATTCCGGAATACTCGGCACGTCCATGTCTGAAACTTTTTACCACAATTTTTAAACTTACTAAAATTTCAACAACAAACCTTTCACATTTGTTTAAACAAAATCTATTTCCTTTATACCTTTTCTATTTCTGGTGTGAATTAACTGAAGGCCGAGTCGCGACTAAAATATTTTATTTTTAAATTGAAAACTTGTAATGTAATATTGTTATCAAAAAGCACTATTAAACATTCTAATTTGCTTCCTGCTTCAATAATTCAATGACTAATTGAATAATTTAAATTGCAACACGAGCACTGTATATTGAATCAACATGGATTCATGCCTGCCCGTTCTACAATAACAAATTTAATCTGTATTAAACAATATATAGCTGAGAATCTTGACACTAATGGACAAGTTGATGTTATTTACACTGACTTCAGTAAAGCTTTTGACAAAATTGATCATAACATTCTTTTTACTTAATTATCTAAGATTGGTCTGAATTCTTCACTTATTTATTTTTTCATAATCGTAAACAGTTTGTCTATCTTAATGGATTCTTGAGCAATATTGAAAATATCAGTTCAGGTGTTCCTCAGGGATCCAATTCTTGGCCCACTACTATTTATTATTTTTATTATTGACATATTTGAAATTACTAGCTGTCCGCATTTATTATTTGCGGATGATCTCAAACTATATGTCAAAATAAATTCTATTGATGACTGCTTATTATTACAGTCTCAACTTGACTCTTTCCACTCTTGGTGTGTCTATAACAAATTACATTTAAATATATCAAAGTGCAAGATTTTTAGCTTTTCTCATAAGCGCGTTCCAATACATTTTAATTATAAAATTTCTAACACCAGCATTGATAGATGTAATAAAATTTCAGATCTGGGAGTTTTATTTGATTCTGGTTTGTTTTTCACGGATCATATAAATGATATTTGTAATAGGGCACATAAATCTTTAGGATTGATACTGAGAAATTGTAAACAATTTAATTCTAACAATGCACTTCATTGCATGTACTATTCTAATGTACGTTCAAAATTAGAATATGGTTCGATTATTTGGTATCCTCATCAAATCAACAACTTAGATGCGATAGAGAAGGTTCATCGAAAATTTCTGAAATATCTTTATTATAAAACATAGAAAATTTACCCTGAACGTGGTTTTGACCACAACACTTGACTAAAAGAATTTGGTATTCCTTCCCTTGCCTCACGTCGATTTATATTCACACAATTATTTCACAATTATTTTTCAATTATCCTACTGCTAAATCTAATTCTCTCTTAAATTCGCCTATTTCACTTATGTCCTCTAACTTTAACTTAATTAATAATGAAATAGATATTCACAACACTTCACCTAATAATCGAATAATCTCCATCTGCACAAGTTAATCTTTTTATTTTCTTTTCAAATATCTCGTTATTTTATCTTATTCTGTTTATAAATAATATTGTTACATTCTGCATTATATGTAATTTTATGTTAAGCATTTTATGTTAATAACTATATATTGCGTTTTTGTATATATTTTAATTGTTATTCATTATGTAAAATAATTGTATTTTTGAGTCCTCTTGGAAGAAATCTGTGGGCTATATATTTAAAATAAATAAATAAATAAATATTCGATTCGAATGCAGGCACTAGTCATGATCTAAAGTTGGTTAAAATCGAAATCAGAAACTTTATCATATTTATAAATTTTGAAAATCTCAATGAAAATATATATCTTTGCTCTTAATTGGCCATCAATTTGAATATTGGTAACCTTCCATAAATTTGTTTCTATCTGAAATCTATCGCAATTTCGACAACCTTTTTAAAAATTAGTAATCTTTCTAAAATCAGAAAAACTCTTTAAACTTTTCCAGAAACCACTTATTGATCTCTCTGAAAATTTGTAATCTTTTTGAAAATTGGTCACCTCACTGAAAGTAGGTAACCTTTTCGAAAGTTTGCAATAATCCTGAAAATGGGTAACCTTTCTAATTACAAAAGTCTCTGTAATATGTAGCCTCACTAAAAATTCGAAATTCTTCCGAAAATTTGTTAACTTTGTAAATTAGTTATATTTCTGGCAATAGGCAACCTCTCTGAAAAAACGAATTTTTAATAAAAATGACCTTTTATTACAAAAGAAATTATTTATTTGGAAAAATAATTAGACGAAGTGACAACAAAAAATTGTCAATTTTTTATGTAAGTGTCGTCAATGCTAACTAATAATTTTACTAAAATAAAATTGTTACTACTGTACTAAATAACTGTTGATCTTTGGGAGTATCACATAGTACAAGAGGCAGGTCCAGAATAAATATTTTACGGAGTAGTGCAGGATTTTCAACCTGCAAAAGAAATAAACAGATTGATTAGATTAGATGATTGAATTTAGTTAGTTTATTTATAAGCAAAACGTTGTATATAAATATGTCGATGTTTGAAAAAAATATTTTTTTATTACTACTTTTGTTTTTAAAAAAATCTGTTAATTTTTGTGGATGAAACTTCGAATTTTGCACAAACTTCTAAATTGTTAAATATTTTTGAATAATCATGATTTTAATAGCAAATTTATTATCGTGTCAAGTATGCCACCCAAATGTCATATCATAAACAGAAATTAAATTATAATGAAATTATAGTTACTTTTGGTATTGTGCCCTGGCACTCGGAAGATCTATTTCCTCCTTCAAAAGATATTTAGACATTCCAATTCTGGCATTTCTGGCGAATTCCCGAACGTTGAGTTTACTTCCATCGACATCGAAGTCTTTCCTGGAATAGTAACAAAATTCAATTTGACAATATTAGAATTTATTGTGAAAGATTCGAATTTACCTGTCGCTTCGTAGAACTTCCTTGCTAAGATTCGTAAAGTTTTTGGATTTAAAAAGCCAGTTTCTCGAAACGAAATACGAAACTGATATTATGGCGAAGTATACTTTTCTTGTCAGTTTGCCCAGCCTAGGAATTAGAGTTAATAGGAAATGTTATTATAAGTGGTGTACCTCAAAGCTAGAATCTGATACTTCGGGACTAGGGAGGAAAGTTTATTAAATGAATGAATGAAATGAATGAAATATTAATAGATGAGTTGCTGCAAGGTATTATAATGTGAGATTATTTAATTTTGTACAAATCTTCCAAATATGCTAAGTATTTTTGACAAATGGTGTAAATAATACGCATTATCAGAAAAGAAACATGCGCCTGATGCATACAAGAAGTATTTTCAATATTTTAATTAATGTTAGTAATTAATCTAATTGTCGTATGTCTGTTCATTAAGACTAAGAACTTTTCATACACTCGTCAAGAACTCGTCATACAATGTTTCATTAAATTTCACAAAAAAATCTAACATTAATGGACGATTTTTGCTAAAAATTAATGATAATGATTACCCATATATTGATATAGATATTACGAAACCGTGGAAAATTTTGCACTTTGCTGCTAATTCTAAAGAAACTGCTCCGACGATTGTCGCCCAAACTTGACAAACACTACTCTTCATTGAATCATACCAAATGGCTTTTAATTTTTTGAAATCGTTTTAGGCAAAATAAATAAAACTGGACAAAATACTGCTCATACATACATACACACATACTTGTTCCCGAAGGATAAGTTTATTTCATATTTTTTCGACGTTTTAAGCCATTCTGAATCCAATGAGATCGAATTTGGAAAAAGTATGTGTGTGTGTGAACAGATTTTCTGTCGTAAATCGACGTTTTCTCAAAAACGCCTGAACCGTTTTCAGAAATTTAAAAGCCATTTGATGTATCTCGATGAGGACTATTGTTTGTCAGTTTTGTGCGACGATCGGCCAAGCAGTTTCTTTTGTAATTTTTATTCACATTTTAGCTCATATTACCAAATTGATTTTAAAAAATCAATAGCTGTTCGAAAGATATTAGTTGGGAATGATACTGATTAGTTTTAGGTGAAAATCTACCGAGCCGTTTTCTTGTAATTAACTGTTGGAAAAAAAATTTAAGTCGATTTTTATGGAACTTTTTTTGGCGATATATATCATGGTCTTATAGAACTTACTCAAATATTACGGCCTTACGACAAGTAGTTTAATTTTAAAAATTCATCAAAGTTTGAGGAAATGAGTAGATATACTACTATTTATAGTATATGATTTACTTGGTATAACGATAGAGTACTTTGTATTAATAAACATACTGGTTTAGTTATAAAAAATTATTGAATTTTAAAATTTTGCTTTTCGAAAATACTCTGAGTTCAACGTGTTTGTTTGTTTTCAACTGTGTGTAAAAAATCCACTCGGAATACATTTAATCACTCATAAATAAATTTATTTTTTATTGATTAAGTCGATTATTTACACATATCGAGAAGTTTATGTAACTTGCCTCAAGGCAAAATACCAATATCAACTTGTTTTAAAGTTGATCTAAAACGAATCAGAATGACTTGAAAGGTCGAGAAAACTAAAAGTTTCAAGAAAAAAAACTTCATGTTAAAAATTGCATTTTTACTCACATTGGTTTTTTCCCAGCTACTTTCAGCAATTCGTCCACAAGGACTGCTACCGAAGCATTTAGTAATACGAACTAAAATAATAGGGATATACATATATATATATATATATATATATATATATATATATATACATTTGGCAGTCTATTACTATTATTACCAGAATTCGAAACGTCGTAAGACTTTTTACAAAATAATTAAATGGATACCACATGGTGCCATTAAACGGATAATCGTTAACTTCTGCAAGTGCCATGTCGCGAATTTCTGCATGCGTTTGCTTCATGTAAGTGTTCATGGAGCAATTGTAAACAGGAAGAGTCTGTGTATCTCTGAAATAAAGAATAAATATATAATAATTAGGACAGACAGGATAGTGAGGACTTAGTATTGTTTTATTACCTTTCCGTTCCTTTTTTCCAACTGGCAGTCATCATGCCGTTTACAACCAGGTCAACCGGCATATTGTCCAATATATGGTTAGGATCTGCTTGCATGACTCTCAAAAATCCTGAAATTTGAAAATAAAGATCTCGCATCTATATCTTAGATGTAGACTTCATATTGTGATTTTTACCTTTGCCTGTTGCTAAACTGAGGCCGACAGGACCATTTAAATTGTCAGCCCATCCTGGCAAAGGTTCCTTCCACATAGAAGTGACTGGAAACAATTTTACTTAATCTATGCCACTTATATTTGTCTTGTGAATATTTTGTATCTCACCAATTCCTGGTCGGTATATAACTAAAGGCAGACGATGGCTATAGTCTTCCACGACATTTTCTGCCAAATGTTTGGTGTAAATATAGGTATTCTTCAAACCATTCAGACATCTGAAGATAACCCAGAATATAATTCATGTTCAACACATCTTCAATATAACTCACTTTTCGGTTAAACAAGCCATTGTATAGTCGTCCTGGTACCCTTCTGCCAATCTGATGGCCTCTTTCCAATCTCCATGGTCCCTGTAGACCTTTTCCTCGATGACGTCTTTGTCGGTGTTGCAATATGCAGTCGACACGTGGACACCGACCACCAAATTGGGCATATCTAACATCAGTTCCATAATTTCGCGTGTCCCTCGAGTGTTCATCAGGGTTGCCTGTTTTAGGGGATCATCGAATCTAGTAAAAAATAAAATAAAATATATATGACTTTCTCCGAATTCCAAATAGAGAAAATGTTCTCAAATTACTTTTTTTCGACTTTTGACGATTCATTGACTATTTTATTACCTGACACTTGCTGCAGCATGAAAAACGACATGGCAGCCTAAAAGTCTTTTCCTGTCCTCTTCGTCCAGGCCCAATCGCAATTCGCTGACATCACCGGTGATGGCCTGGACTTTGTCCAAAACCTTTGGATTGGTTTGTCTTATTGTATCAAATAACTAAAACAGTGAAAGTATATTTCATTACTAACTATTATTATTATTTTAATTTATATTTAACTTTCCGAAGGAGAAGTTTATGTTTTCATCAAAAAATCCGATTCGCTAATTTTATGTTTTCTCGACGTTTCAAGCCTTTCTGAATCGAATAAGACCAACATTTGGAAAAAGTATGTGTGTGTGCGTATGTGAACAGATTTTTTGCCGTAAATCGACGTTTTCTCGAAAACGGCTGGACCGATTTCAAAAATTTAAAAGCCACTCGACAATCGGCCAAGACGTTGCTTTATAATTCTCAGAAAAGTGAAAAATTTTTCATCTACGTTTTAGCTCGCAATTCCGAATCGATTTTGAAAATTCAAAAACCGTTTGAAAGATATTGGTTGGGAATCGTGCTGATTAGTTTTTGATAGAGATCGGCCGGGCCGTTTTCTTGTAATAAAGTTAAAAAAAAAAAATTCGAAGATTTTTATGATTATTTTTTTGACGGTAGATACCATAGTCTTCTAGATAATACTAAAATATTACGGCCCTACGACAACTGGTTTAGCTTTAAAAATTCGTCAAAGTTTGCATAAATTAGTATGGTCTTTTTGGCATTTGTCAAAATTAGAACTTTCATCGGCGTTTGCTCAAAAAACGCCTGAACCGATTTCAGATATTTAAAAAGCATTTGGAGTATCTCGATGAGGATTATTGTTTCTCAGTTTTGTGCGACGATCGGCCGAGCCGTTTCTTTGTGATTTCGAAAAAAGTGTTAAACTTTTCGTCCACATTTAATCAAAAACTCGAAAGATATTAGTTGGGAATGATACTGATTTAGTTTTTAGTGAAAATCTACCGAGCCGTTTTCTTGTAATTAACTGTTAAAAAAAAATTAGGCCGATTTTTATGGAACTTTTTTTGGCGATATATATCATGGTCTTATAGAACTTACTGAAATATTACGGCCTTACGACAAGTGTTTAATTTTAAAAATTCATCAAAGTTTGAGAAAATGAATATTTTTTTTGTTAAAAATAAAATTAGACGATTTAGTTGGTATAACGATAGTGTACTTGGTCTTTACAATAGTAAACCATTAAAGTCCTATGGAAACTGGTTTAATTATAATTATTGATTAATTAAAATTATTGATTTTTGAAAATTTGCTTTTAGAAAATACTTCGAGTTAACGTGTTCGTTCGTTCGTTTGCAATTATGTATAATAAATCCACTCGGAATACTTTCAATAACTCATAAATTAATTTATTTTTTATTGATTAAGTCGATTATTTACACATTTCGGGAAGTTCATGTAACTTGCCTCAAGGCAAAATACCAATACCAACTAGTTATTTTACCGGATTGTCCAGGATGGTTCTGACTCGTTCCTGGGGCTTCTGATTTTTCTTACTTCTGACCAGGAGATAAATGGTCTTTACTTCGGGACAGCATCGTAGGAGTTTCTCGATTAAGACTTTTCCGATAAATCCTGGCGATGGATTATATTTAATTGCAATTATAGTTAATTCAAAACGATCTCAAAAAATAAGGGCAAGTCACAAAAAATCGTGTTATTCGATGGCCAGTTATCAAATTTGGCCTACTATTTAACATAATCATTTTTTCTGGCAGGATTAATAAATTTATATAATGAAATTGTATCACCGATCACTTTTATAGTCGATTACAAGTATTTAATTCTAATTTTCAATTTATAAATATGTGGGTTTGACGTCTTCCTTAGTACTCACCAAGTGTAAATCCAAAACCAAAACTAAGAACTATTTAAAGAAAACTAATATATATATCCATTCCACTCACCGCTTCCTCCAGTTATAAAAACTTGCTTTCCACTAAAAAATTCAGGAATAGTTATATCTGTCATAATTCCAATTCAGATCACAATTGTCTAATTATCTTCCTATTTAATCTGTTCCTGGTAGAACACAAATTTACTTACTGATGGATTATCGATTGTCCTAGAACTGTCTTATGCAGAATATTTTTAAATTTAATGCTATGCAGTATTTTTAAATTTATTATTATTCATTAATTTGTGTGACGACAATAATGTGGATTAGAATATTGTTTTGCATTAGAAAAGTCATCGATGACAAATATTAGTTATGTATTTATTCATAAGACAGCTGTAAATATTAATAACAAAAATTATTTCGGATCAAGGTGTTTAATTGAAGGATGGAAAATTTTTTTCAGTTTTGCTGATTTTAAATTATTGATAACTTCCGAAGGAGAGAAGTTTATGTTTTCGGCAGAAAATCAGTTTTGCCACTATGTTTCGAGTCATTCTGAATCGTTTGAGAACCAAATTGCAACTAGTGGTGCATGGCATCGTGCTTTAAGGCAAATTGCTGGAACTTCACGTACTGTAGTGAAATATTTAGGGAATTTTCAATGTTTTCAAATATATTATTATAAATACTGTAACTTTTTTAACTTTCCGTAGGGTAAGTTATTGTAATCATCCAAATCGTCGAAATTGAAAATTTTTACATTTCTTCACGTTCCTGGTTTCTGAACATTTTGGCACACCTCAGAAAAAAGGGATGAGCGTGTGTGTATGTATGTATGAATACAATTTTTCATCCACGTTTTCGGGCGCACGGATCAACCGATTTGAATGGTTCAAAAAACATTCGATTCCTATTGATAGGGAAATGTACTGATTAGTTTTTGGCGAAGGCAGGTCCTGCCGATTAGGAGATAGGAAGCAAAGAGTGCAAAAATAGAAATCGAGTTTTTGAGAGATCGGAGCATCGGATTTGGAAGATCCAAAAAACATTCAATTCGTAATGACAAGGAGAAGTGGTGATTAGTTTTTTTGGATAAGGCAGGTCCAGCGGTTTCGGAGATACAGAGCTAAAAGTGCAAAAAATGGCTGTTTTTGAGAGAACTAAGCGTCCGTTTCAATTTTTTTTTACAATTTTTTTTTTCAAAAAATAATTCAGATTTTAATTGTAATTCTGACTTAAGTTTTAATATACTTTAAAAAAATATTTTCAACTTTGCAATTCAGTTTATATAATTCTTATAAATAAATATTAGACAATGTTACAATAATAATAATAATCTATTTGAAAACATTTAATATTCCTCGAACATTTTGTTACGGTACGGGAAGTTCCAGCAATTTGCTTTAAGGCACGATCACATTCCTAGTTCCATTCTTTTTTGTTGCAAAATATAAGAGCTTATACATTGGAGGACGAGGAAAATAAGGAAACAAAACCTAATTAAAATTGAAGGACCTTTTATCTCATATTTCTAAGAATGAATAAACTGAACTGAATTGCAAAATTAAAATTATTTATAATTGAAGTTTAGTATTTTAGCTAGATTTAAAATGAAAATTCAAATCATTTTTGATATGAAAAAAATGGAAATTGATTTTTTGTTCTGACATTTAAAAAAAATTTTTTTTTGTTTTCCTTAAAAATTCTTCGTAACAAAATGTCAAGTTTCGTCGATTTTTCCTCAGAAACGGTTGAACTAATTTAAATGCGATTTCATAAAACTTGATTATCACACGCTAATTAGTTTTACACCGCAATCGGAAAAGAAGTTTCTATAAAATAAGTTAATAATTTTTCCACTTGGTTTTTGAAAAACATTCTGAAGGTAGCAGTCTGGAATTGTGCTAATTAGTTTTTGACAAGGATCAGTTAATTTTTTTTTTGTCATTTTGATGTAACATTGAATGACGATAAAATTCCTTGTCTTGATGGTATAATCTTTCTCCGAACTGGTAATCAATCTAAACATTGGTATCCCTCTGAAAGTTGTGAATTTCTCTTAATTCTGGCAAACTCTCTAAAATTGGACAACTAAATCTTACCAAAATTTGCTATCTATATAGTATTCTTACACAAACTCTGAAATTCGGCAACATTCCTGAAAATGTGCTATCTTTCTGAAAACTTCTCTGAAACATGCAACCATGGTGTAAATTAGAAGGTCTCTGAAAATTGGTCACTTATCTAGGCAACCACTTTGAAAAACGAAGTTTTAATAAGAATCCCTGTTACAAAATAAATTATTTATTTGAAAAATATTTAGACAACAAAATATTGACAATTTATATGTAAGTGTCTTCAATGCTAACTTATAATTTCACTAAAATAAAATTGTCTTTATTGCACTAAAAACTGTTGATCTTTGGCAGTATGACATAATACAAAAGGCAGGCCCAGAATAAATATTTCACGGAGTAGTGCAGGATCTTCAATCTGAAATTAAATAGACGGGATCAGTCGATTGAATTTAGTTAGCTATTGGTGAAATAGTACTTATTTTTAATTTTTTTCTAAATTACTTAAAATCAAATAAAATATTTTATTTTATAGTTACTTTTGGTACTGAGCCCTGGCGCTCGGAAGATCTATCTCCTCTTTCAAGATATATTTTGATATTCCCATTCTGGCATTCCTTGTAAAATCCTGAACGTTGAAATTACTTCCATCGACCACGAAATCTTTCCTAGAATTAAAAAAAAACAATTTTATTTCTAGTATTTCTAGTATTTGTTCTGATAAATTTAAATTACCAGTCGCTATGTAGAACTTCCTTGTTGAGATTCGTAAAGTTTGAGGATTTAAAAAGCCAGTTTTTCGAAACGAAATAAGACACTGACAGCATGGCGAAGTAGGTTTTTCTTGTCAATTTGCACAAACTTGAAATAAAAGATCACATTTTAATCAATGCAACTCAACATTAGAAGGAACTTTAAAACTAATATTGATGGGTTTCCTACTTCGAACGTATTCGCAATAAAATTAGTAAAGAAATTCGAGATTTTTTTGGGTGTAATATTATTTCACATTCATATTATTTCTGATATGCGTAAATAATGGCATTCAAGTACTCACATTGGTTTTTTCCCTGAAACCTTCAGCAATGCATCTACAATGACTGCCTCCAAAACATTCAGGAACACAAACTAAAATAAATGATATATATATATATATATATATATATATATATATATATATATATATGCATATATACAGCCAACTCTCCGTTAACAAGGTACTCTGGAAACACAGTTTCTTTACTACACGAAGCCGAAAATCCGACATTCCTCCGATAACACGGACTCTTTATTCCGTGCAACCTATAAACGATTCTAGTAACCAGATATGTTGTACAAAGATTTAACTAGTGGGGCGCATGGCATCGTGCCTTAAGGCAAATTGCTGGAACTTCCCGTACCAAATATTATTATTTTTTTTTAAGATTAACATTTTTGAAAAAAAATTACTCTGAAAAATTAGATTTTTAAAAACTATAAATTTTTGACAAAAATTTACTTTTTTAAAAAAAAAAGACTTTTTGAAGAAAAGTGTATTTTGAAATATTTTGGAAATTCTGAACTTTTTTTTAAACAATCGTACTGCTTTAACTGCATAGAGACGAAATATCGAAGCGCGTAAGCGCCGCGCTGCCGTCTAACGGATAAGCATTGGTACGGAACCTATTGGAATGTAAACAAAATTTATACTTATTGTTAAAACTCTATAAAATATCTGATAATTTGATGTGCATATGTTTAATGATCATTTTTGACCGCCTAATGGCATTTTTTTCTACTTTTTACTAGATCTCCGAAACCGCTAGACCTGCCTTCATGAAAATTTGATCATTTCTTCATCCTGTCAATACAAGTAAAATGTTTTTTCAATTATTCAAATCGGACGCTCCGTTCTCTTAAAACTGCGTTACCGTTTTTGGCACTTTTTGCCCCACATCTTCGGAAGGTTCCTTATCAATACAAATCAAATTTTTTGAATTATTCAAATCGCTTTATCCGTGTTCCTGAAATCGTCGACGAAAATTTGTATCTGTACACATACATACACGCACACACACATACCGCGCACACACACATTTATTTTTCTAAGATGCCAAAATATTTAGAAACCTCTGAAACGTAAAGATATATAAAAATTTTCATTTTCGATTTCTTTGCGATCTACGGGAAGTTAATATAAACTTTTTTACAATATGTTTATATAAATATGTCAGATTATATAATAGTGTACGACTTCGGATTAATTAACTAGTGATATGCCAATTTAACATCAATCTTTCTAAAAAAATCAGCTTGAAAAACTTTTTCCAAGATAAACAGTTTTTTAACTTCCCGAAGGAGAAGTTTATTTTTATCAAAAAATCCGATCCGCTAATTTTATGTTTTCTCGACGTTTCAAGTGATTCTGAATCGAATGAGACCAAATTTGGAAAAAGTATGCATTTGTATGTGTGTGTGTGTGTGCGAACAGATTTTTTGTCGTAAATCGACGATTTCTCAAAAACGGCTCGACCGATCAAAAATTTAAAAGCCATTCGATGTATTTCGATGAGGACTAGCGTTTCTCAGTTTTGTGCGTCGACGACCAAGCCGTTTCTTTATAAATCGCAGAAAAGTGAAAAA